CACTTGAGTTGACATCACTGTGTAAAATCGAACACATATTTTATATGATACTTCGTAAATTCTATTTTTTTAAACAAACCAAAGATATACCAATAAATATGAATTAACTAAATACTTTCGTCATTAATTAATTCCATATAATTCACATTACAATTACAGCCTAACTAATGGCTCCCTTTGTATGGGTCAAAATTAGATTAAAGAAATTCTTCACGAGGTCGTGGTCGTGGACGTGGTCGGACAGGCCAAGGTCGGACCGTCATCAATGGTCGTGGTCGGACATGCCAAGGTCGGACCGTCATCAACGGTCGTGGTCGGACATTCCAAGGTGGGACCGTCATCAATGGTCGTGGTCGGACATGCCAAGGTCGAACCGTCATCAATGGTCGTGGTCGGACATGCCAAGGTCGGACCGTCATTAAACATCTAGTTTGCTTTGAAAAGCTCAAAAGGAATATTCTACCGAATATTCCCTGCAAATTGTACCTTTTTTTAGGATTTTTTATGAATATCCCCCCTTATAAATAGGAGGAGAGGACTTCCCAAAAAGGGGGCTCTCTCTCTCTCCCTCTCCCTCTTTCTAAAAAATATGTAAATACACCTCTCCAAAGAAATGAGAGGATATGTGATCCAATACCTTCATCGGATCCAAAAAGGGTCATGAGGTTATTGTATTTGTCTATCATTCATCTTTATGAAGAGAAAGAAGATCTGTCTCAACAAAGATCGGGTGAACCTTTTCCTTTTGTTATTTAATGCATCTTTCTTTATGCCATTAAATCTGGTCATAATCGCCATCAACATTTATATTCGGCTATATCTTTTAGTTCGTATTATTCATCTCGGATCTAGAGTTAATTATTCTTAACTATGATTTACCCGTTCATTTCTTTTGACTGATTTGCTTAAAAAGTGTTTAACAACTTTTGAGTCAAACAATTTGGCGCCGTCTGTGGGGATTTTCTAGTTAAAATTTTAGTTTCCTCTAGATCTAAATCCAACTCTAGTTCCATTTTCTACTCGTTGTAGCGCCATCCTAGGAGTGCATATCGCTCCAGGGAAACAATGAAAATTCGAAAATTAAGGAATTTCCAAATACAGACAAAGTATATGACATTCTACCTGAAATATAAAAAGGAAAGAGTTATATGTATTCGTCAATGACGACGTATTCATTGATCTATGCTAAAGTCAATGATGTGTTCGTCAATAACGATAAAGCCAAAGTCATATTATCGTGTAACAAGGATCTATGCTAGGAGTACGCCACTCCAAATATATACATATTCTTGGCAAGCATCACCTTTTCATTAAAAGTATAGAAAATTTCTAATTAAAAAGACATTATAATGCAATAGAACCTGGGCATTAGCAAGTGTAAGATAAAAATATAAAAACCAAAAAAAAAACTGGTGGACATGGCTGAAGTTATCTAAAGCCTTGGCAGAAAAAAGATGAACAGAGCAGATTTTTCTAAGCATACGCCATCTTGGTCCATAGGGTGCAAAAACAAAATCCTGCTAATTGTAAGCCGAGTGTTTTGCACCCGAGTTCGGAGGGCGAGCCGACACGCCGTCTACCATAACATGGAAAGACAAAATAACTTTCTTAAACTCTCTTTCGCTTTTGCAGCTTCAAATTTTTAACATACTATCTGTATAAGGGAATATTCGTACAACTTCTGTGTTCTTTAAATGCCGAATCAAAGGCGTTTCTTATCATCGGATAAATTTGATTATATATTTCAACTGTAGAAAATTTCGTGATTCCTCTTAAAGTCCAAACCATGGAACAAAAATATCCAAGTGGATAACTTGATTTGACCCTTCGTCCTGATGTTTTCGTATCAATATTAATCAATATAGAAAGAGACAACAGCTATTGTGTCAACTACTTCAAGTTTTCTTGCTTCTCCTTCATTGTTTGTAACAGAAACTCAGGAAGAGGCTTGAAAAACAAATCAAGGATGATGTTGGCCAAGCTTTCGGTTTACTTCGCCTTCATTTCCATGATTACTTTGTCCAGCCCCCCAAAATACGAGACAATAGCGTGGATCTGCAAGAAGACGCACAAAAGAGATGTGGTCATCTGGTCCCCCCTTCTTCCCCAACTGTTCCTCTATCAGATAATATGCTATCTGTACAAAAAAACTTTACTAAAGCGGACAGCCACGCCAAAATTGGTAGCTGCCACTAAAAGCATAACTAGAGGAGTGAACATGGTCGCTCCTCTCCACTCGCCGACCGATCAAATCGAGGTAACGAACGATTTAATTTGGTTTAACTAACCATTTTTCTTAATGGAATAGAAGCAGGAGCATTCTCCCAGATACACAAAAAGGAAATGCATCATATTTTCCAAAAACAAGCAAAATTAAACAAACTGGGACTCCCCCAGGAAATACATCATATTCTCAAATGCAAGCAAAATTAAGCAAACTGGGACTCCCCCAGGAAATACGTCATATTCTCCATTGCAAGCAAAATTAAGCAAATTGGGACTCCACTAGGGAACCCTTTAAGTCTAAGGCCTTCGCCATCAAAGATCAAACTATTACAGTTCGACCTCGCTCGAACTGGGACTCAGGCTAAGCGCCTTCGTCATCGACATACTACAGTTCGACCTCGCTCGAACTGCGACTCAGGCTAAGTGCCTTCGCCGTCGACTCAGGCTAAGTGCCTTCGCCATCGACTCAGGCTAAGCGTCTTCGCCATCGACATATTACAGTTCGACCTCGCTCGAACTGGGACTCAGGCTAAGCACCTTTGCCATCGACATATTACAGTTCGACCTCGCTCGAACTGGGACTCAGGCTAAGCGCCTTCGCCATCGACTCAGGCTAAGTGCCTTCGCCATCGACTCAGGCTAAGCGCCTTCGCCATCGACATATTACAGTTCGACCTCGCTCGAACTGGGACTCAGGCTAAGCGCCTTTGCCATCGACATATTACAGTTCGACCTCGCTCGAATTGGGACTCAGGCTAAGCGCCTTTGCCATCGACTCAGGCTAAGCGCCTTTGCCATCGACTCAGGCTAAGCGCCTTCGCCATCGACATATTGATAAGTTCGACCTCGCTCGAACTGAGTTAAAGGCTAAGTGCCTTCGCCATCGAAGTTTGATAAGTTCGACCTCGCTCAAACTGAGTTACAGGCTAAGGGCCTTCGCCAAAAAAAAAGAGTTCGACCTTGATCGAACAACGACGGGTTAACATCTCAATAAGTCGAAATAACACCCTTTAAGGCCAAGGGCCTTCGCCAAAAAGAAGAGTTCGACCTTGATCGAATGACAACGGGTTAACATTTCGATAAGTCTAAATAACACCCTTTAAGGCCAAGGGCCTTCGCCAAAGAAGAAGAGTTCGGTCTTGATCGAACGACGACGGGTTAATATTTCGACAAGTTCAAAATAACACCCTTCAAAGCCAAGAGCCTCCGCCAAGAAGAAGTGTTCGACCTCGATCGAACGATGACGGGTCAATATTTCGACAAAATCGAAATAATACCCTCTAAGGCCGTGGGCCTTCGTCGAAGAGAATTCGAAATGTCCCTAAGGCCAAGTGCCGTAAGAAAATATAAAGGGTAAGAAAGACTGGGACTCGCCATGCGGGAATCTACCTCGCACCAAAGTCGCGAAAAGCGAAAACATAGAAAAATACAAGGCGAATAATAACGAAAAGTTCTTCTTTATACAAAGTCACTGCGCAAATAGCCGCAGATTACATACGACCCGGATGAATAGTAAAAAAAAAAGACAACTATCTTTTCACTCGGCGTCACCATCGCCACTCTCTTCACCACCATCTCCAAGATATTCTCCCTCGGCATCGGCGTCCTCAGCTGCAACCCATACTAGTTGACCTCCCCATTCGAATTTCTCCAACTACGATCAATAAAGTCCGCTCACCGAGCTCGACCAAGAGGCGACCTCGATAAGCGGAGGGACTAACTGTATGGGTCAAAATTAGATCAGAGAAATTCTTCACGAGGTCGTGGTCGTGGACGTGGTCGGACAGGCCAAGGTCGGACCGTCATCAATGGTCGTGGTCGGACATGCCAAGGTCGGACCGTCATCAACGGTCGTGGTCGGACATGCCAAGATCGGACCGTCATCAACGGTCGTGGTCGGACATTCCAAGGTGGGACCGTCATCAATGGTCGTGGTCGGACATGCCAAGGTCGAACCGTCATCAATGGTCGTGGTCGGACATGCCAAGGTCGGACCGTCATTAAACATCTAGTTTGCTTTGAAAAGCTCAAAAGGAATATTCTACCGAATATTCCCTGCAAATTGTACCTTTTTTTAGGATTTTTTATGAATATCCCCCCTTATAAATAGGAGGAGAGGACTTCCCAAAAAGGGGGCTCTCTCTCTCTCCCTCTCCCTCTTTCTAGAAAATATGTAAACACACCTCTCCAAAGAAATGAGAGGATATGTGATCCAATACCTTCATCGGATCCAAAAAGGGTCATGAGGTTATTGTATTTGTCTATCATTCATCTTTATGAAGAGAAAGAAGATTTGTCTCAACAAAGATCGGGTGAACCTTTTCCTTTTGTTATTTAATGCATCTTTCTTTATGCCATTAAATCCGGTCATAATCGCCATCAACATTTATATTCGGCTATATCTTTTAATTCGTATTATTTATCTCGGATCTAGAGTTAATTATTCTTAACTATGATTTACCCGTTCATTTCTTTTGATTGATTTGCTTAAAAAGTGTTTAACAACTTTTGAGTCAAACACCCTTATATTTTACTGAGTAATAATAAAATTCAATATACCGTGGCAAATCCTTTTAATCATATGTTTGCAGCACATGAAGCATAAGAAGAGTACACAAGTATTAGTGGTACAACGTTGATGTATTGTTAGCTGGTCAAAACGCATAAAAGAGTTAGATAGCCAAAGTCTTTGAACGAGAAAGATAAAAACGCGGCGATACTACTACTACTACTCCAACCAAAGTTGGGATTAGTATTTAACCAACCCTTTTTTTCATTCAAAAGCCAAACAGCATCTTCTCTCTAAAGAACCCCATTAACCTACCAAACCAAAATACATAACCAACACTAATATCCATTCTTTGTGCCAATTAAAAACCAATATTCGCATCTCTTTATTTTCTCTTTCTAACTAAAACCTCATTTAATAAATTTAGAAACCACAACCACTAGTAGGCATATTACTTAGCTGGATTTTGTTATTCTAATTGTGAGGAGTAAAAGAGAAGGACGTGAAATGAAAGAGGGGCTACCAGAAATCGAGTAACACGTTTCTCTACCGCTAATATTTCACATCCTTATCCTCTTTCTGACTATTCCCATTTTCCTCCATACCCTCTTTTGTCTCCTTTCTTTCTTTCTCTATCTAAATCTACCTTACTTATTTTCTTTTCTTTTTCCATCCATTTAGTATACTTCTCTTCTATCTTTATCTATCCTCTCTATCCTTTTCTTTTCTTTTTTGAAACCCTCGACTCATCGCCGTGCTCAAAGGTTGGACCTTTTTAACGATTGAATCGGGGGTTGTATCTTTTTTTGTTTTGTTTTTGTTTTTTGTTGCTTGTTATTATGGCTTTGGTGGCGGCTTTGCTTGAGATTTTAGAAAGACCTAGTTTTGGGGAGGTATTATTAGAGCTGGTGATGTTTATGGGTCCCATCTGGATTGCTGTTGTTGTTGGGGTATTGGTGGGATGGGTGTGGAAGCCCAAGTGGGCTAAGCTTGGCCCTGATTCCTTTGATTCAACAGATGTTTCTGCCTCTTCTTCTTCTTCTTCCGGTATGCTCCTCCACAGCTTGTCTTCTGGGTTTGCTTCCCTCAATCCTCTCAAATTGCAACTTCCCACCTGCAACATTCCTTGGATCAAGGAAACTCAGTCCCCGCCCTCTATTTCATGTTCTAGCTCCAGGTTAGTTGGAATGTCTCTATCTTTTTGTTTTGTTTCATCTTGCAAAAGATAAAATTTCATGCTGTTGTCAGTTCATTGGAGCTGGAAGGCGAGAAATCAGTAGTAACAGAGGCAGACCTTCTTTACTTAGACGGATTGGTTGAAGAGTCAGATGGAGGACCTGCTTGGATTCAAATGATGGACCGTTCTACCTCAAACATGTCCTATCAAGCTTGGCGTAGAGATCCTGAGGTACATTTCTCTTCCCCCCCCCTGGCCTTGTATGTTATGTGCCTTTAATTTAACTATGTTGCACTTAATTGGATTGCATTTATAATGTCTTGATGCTAGACTGGACCCCCACAATATCGTAGCAGAACTATATATGAGGATGCCACTCCAGAAATGGTGAGGGATTTCTTCTGGGATGATGAATTCCGGTTGAAGTGGGATGACATGCTTATTCATGCTCAAACATTAGAAGAGTGTCCTACCACTGGAACCATGATGGTTCAGTGGGTGCGTAAGGTATGAGCGCCTACTCTGTCTTGACTTGTGCATACCTTTGAAATCGCGTAATTGAACTATGGCTTACATCAATTCATTTTTGGTCCAGTTTCCCTTCTTTTGCAGTGATAGAGAATACATCATAGGCCGTCGAATTTGGGAATCAGGGCGAACTTACTATTGTGTCACAAAGGTAAGACAATGAAGTCTTTGTCATATATGCACAAGTAGTATAAGCAAATTGTAGATGTCAAACATGTGTATACTTCATTTTCGTGTTCACTGGGTTAATGGTAAATAGACTGCTCTTCTACGTGGCACACAATTTGTTAACCTAAATTTGATACTACTGTTATATTGGTGGAAGCCAGATAATCCGAGTTAGAAAATACGCAAATCAAATTTAAGGGTGTGCCCAACTAGGATGCTTTTAGTCATGGAATACTAGTTGGGAACCTAAACCTGATAAGCAAATATACATTTTTCATTATCTGAGTAGAGCTCATAGAAGTAGAGTTAGTTGTATTCAAACCACCTTTAAGAGGTCCACTACGTTTAAATGTGGCACAGGATATACTTGCTGTGAACTGAATGTTCATAAGCAAAGATATGTTTTCTATCTACGGAGAATACAGAGAAATTGGAGTAAGAGTACACAAGTCAAATCTAAGAGGGTGTGGTAACCTCTCTTCCAACCCCCTTTCTCTTTAAGGATATCCCAGTTTTGGAAATGAATATGCTGTGCGTGTGTTAATCTTTATTCATTGATGGCCAGAAAGACCCACGTTCTTAGATACCTTCCATTTTCAGAGTCAAGCCTTCTCTTAGATACTTACCATTAATTGAATGGAGTTGGAGGTTATTTTCTGTCTGATTTGCATTTAAATAGCGAGGATGCTTCAAAATTAGCACCCAAAGAAGAATATTTACCTGGACCTAGGGCTTTAGTATAGTAGTAAAAGCACATTATGTGATGTGTGGCAGTGTGGGTTTAGAATACGTCACGGGTTCAAATCCTATCGCAGACAAAAGCCTGCTATTTAATTGGATAATGGTAGAGGGGCAGGTCCATTATCCACAGATTTTGGAACCATGCGCCACTGGCGTTTCAGGATTTCTCGATTATAAAGTAAGAAGAAGAATATTTTACCTGTGGGAGAGGGAAAGACCCAGTAGTAAATTGCAGGTACCCTAGTGGGAGTACCTACCTCATGTTTTTCTATGTCAGCCTCGATGCTGCATGAGTACTGTTACGCGGCGCCTTCCTGAGATTCCTTGGAAGGGCGACGTAAGGCTAGGCAACTGATGTCAGTGCAGTTGCCGTCCGCCAACTGAGGTCCCCTCCGTACGCCAGACGAGATTGTCAGTGCCGTACGGAAAAACCAATGTCAAGAGCAATTGAGAGAACAGAAATGAGAATTCAGAATGAAAGAAAGCTTGATTGCATTAATGAAAGCTATTACAGAAAAGCAACGCGATGTCGAGGGGGAGAGACACCAGTACAGAGAATTGCTTGCTTGCTAGAAAGTTTTGATTGCTTGATCCCCCTAATAGTACTTAAAAAAAATAATCCAAAGTTACAAGACTAGACTTGACTAAGCTAGGGAAACATAATGGAAGTACATGAAATAAAACTACACTATATTTACAATGAAAATGACTTAGTTTTCTATAAGGCAGCAGCAGGTCCGTTGTCAGCAGCAGTGTCTTTGGCATCACGGTCTGCGCGCGCGGCGCTGTTGGCTTCTGCCTGCGGCTTGGCGCTCGCGAGGGATATCGGTGGGGCGACAGAGGCACCTGCGCTACTTGTCACTTGGCGCGGCCAAGACCACGGGGCCGTCCGTGGCGCTAGGCATTGGGAGGTTCGCTAGGATGCCACGGGGCGCGCCCAAGGGGTCATGGGGCATGGCTGGAAAGCCGCCCATGACAGTACTGTTGCTTCAGGAGAATAGAATACTGAAAACTAAATACTGATTTTTGGCCTGACATTGGTTGATGGTGCCCTCACTCACATTCATATTCCCCATTGTACATCATTTTGTTGAAATCTTGAATAATCATAGTTTAAGATCTTTAAAAATTGAGTGTCTCTATGTTTCAGGGTGTACCATGCTCCTCTGTGCCTCGTCGCAACAAACCAAGACGTGTTGATCTCTACTATTCAAGTTGGTGCATTCGTGCAGGTAATATAAAGTGATATTGCTTTGCGTAATTGCTCAACTTCCAATAAAATAGTGGTTACTCTTTATAATAAGATAACAATAATAATAATAGTGGAAGTTACTGAAGCAATTATGATAATTAACCATCTGATGTAGTTGGCATATGGGTCATGCTAGGAAATATTATTATTAAAAATGGAATTTGAGATGTTCCATTTTAATATCTGAGAAGAGTTACTTTAATTACTTTGCCTCTAAGTTGTTTTTTTCCCTATGAACAGCTGAATCCAAGAGAGATGGTCGGATGACTGCATGTGAAGTGATACTCTTTCATTATGAAGACATGGGTATACCTTGGGAAATTGCAAAACTCGGGGTTAGGCAAGGAATGTGGGGAGCTGTGAGAAAGATTGACCCTGGTTTACGTGCATACCAGAAACAGAGAGCATCCGAAGTCCCAATTTCAAGAAGTGCATTCCTGGCGCAGGTCAACACCAAAGTTGACATTGACAACCTCAGATCACTGGGGAACAGAACCAATCTGTCTGAGATTGAGCCTGAGGATTCATACGAGAAGCCTGCGCGAAGGAACATACCAAGGTTTCTAGTTATTGGTGGGGCAGTTGCCCTTGCTTGTAGTCTTGATCGTGGACTCCTGACAAAAGCAGTTATATTTGGAGTTGCTAGAAGGTTCGCAGGGATTGGGAAAAGGTTGTGAGACTGCTCTAGTATGTCAAAGGCATTTATATACATCATCTGACCCATAGGAGAACATACTTTGCCAGCAAGGCAGCCACTGTGAAGAGCTATGCAAGCTAGATCCTCCTCCACCGCGAAGAGCATCAAGAGTTATATTCTGTTGTTTCTGTCGAGCTGCAACGCAGCCACTGTTCAGGAGAATCCAGATAATATACATGTATTCTTTGAAAATTCTGGTTATCACTGAATATCTCATGCTGCAAATAAAAGCAGAGCTGATTCTTTTTATGGACCTATTAAATTTTTCTTGCTTTTCTTCTTCGATGGTTCACAGATATTCCCCGACTTAGGGACTGGGAAAGTTGGTTCAGATATGTGGTGAGAAGAGGCTCAGAATTGGCTGGCCTTGGCATTGTGCTAGCTCACCTTCTATAATAATCCCTCATCTGATACAGTTTGCATAAGACCGTGTAACAAGTGCCTACAACATGACACATATGCTTGTATCAGGTCAACTGAAATGTTACTGCATCAAATAATAGGGGGTGAAGTGACATTAATTCTTCTTCTTTTTTCTTTTCCTCCTGGATATCACGAAACCCTTAACCTTTTTTTCTTTTTAGGTTGTTCATTCTAAACAAGTATTGTATACTTTATTAAAGTGGAAGCTCTAACAAATTTTAAGTACCATAATAAGAAATTCTATGAGAATAAGCTAAGATTGATAATTGCTGCCCAAATCAAGTTTCCTTACTTCTTGCGGATTGCGTGGGGTGGGAAAGGACTAATGCTGATAGATAAACTCCAACTTACATCCTAATCTTTTCCGTTAACAATCATGATCAAACTTGTCCTTTTGTCTGATTTTTCTTATGAACACCCAAAATTAACGCAAGACATCGGGATTAGGGAGATCATATTCAAATTCTGACTTGACGCCAATTGAACTTTGGGATAAAAAATGAAATAGCAATAAAGCATGTAGTACACGGGTTAAGGTACATTTCACGTTTATAATACGCATAAATCATTTTGTTTGACAGCAAAAGATACTGTCTCCGATCAATTTTAGTTGACTGGTTTCTTATATTAATCAATCCAAATACTCTAACAATCTCCTCATTCAACGAATTAAACTAATATTGTCTTAAACTATTCAGCACTTGATGTAACAATTGAACTAACATCCCAATAATCTTTAAACAATTCAAACTACTAGTACTATTTCAAACTTTCTTTAGAAAATTCATATTAACTATATGAAATATCAAATTCTAATGGGACGCGCGACATGAGTAATTAGAATCTAGGAGAATAGAAAATGGATAAAATGAAAAGATAGGAGTATTATACAGAGTAGAAGAACACACAAAGTTATTAAATTAGATCAACATTTACATACAACATAAAATATACACCTAGCTACCCTCTTCCTCTGGTCAATAATAATACTGTTAAAAGGAAAAAGCATCGACAAGTATCTTCAAGGCACAAGATTCACAAGAATTACGGATAAAGAGAAGAGGGAGCTTTTCCATGATGAATTCATGAGCAAAGCCAACAGATACTGCTGAAACCTTGGCGTTGGTAGATAGGGCAGGGCTTTTTGATTTGTTTTGTGTTTGGTTGAGCAGCCTTGGATATTTGTGTTGGCGGAGAACAAATGTGCTCCTCTTCTTCTTGTGGGAAGACATGAGCAGCAGCACAGGGCATAGCAGCCCCGACTTTTTGCCCCAAGAATTCAGCACAAACAGCATCAAATGAACTGAACAATGAATTCATGATTCCTGGCCTGTCACTACTGAGGATTGATAGTAACAGCTCGAATGGATGGTTCCGAAAGGTGATAGAGTAGAGAGCTATATATATATTATATATATATAGGCAGGGGCGGATTGAGTTCAACTGAACCAGTATTTTCGATGCGGAACATAAATTTATACGTAAAAATTATAATATGAACCCATAACTTTAAAATATAATGAATTCAATGCCAAAAATTTTAAATATAAAACCCATAGATTTTATTAAAATCCTAAATCCGTCGCTCTAAGGAAGGAAAGCTGGATAGTGTTGGGCGCTTGTGGATGATGAGGGTGGCTAAGAACAGCTTATAGTAGGACAAATATGCGTCACCCACAAATCACATGATCGGAGGAGGGAATTTCATATATTACATGAATAATGCCTTAGTGAATTGGAAATGGAGAGCGTGGTACTAATATGAATATTGACCGCTGTGTTACAGCTGAGCAGTTATGGGTCCCATTTCTAGCTTTTTAGAAAAGATAGCCATTATCGAGCTTCATATCTATCTATAGCAGTAAAGCCGCCAATGACCGTTTTATACAGCTGTTTTATGTTTGGCATTGTGCATTCTTAAATCTTTTTTAAGAATGGCAAAACCCAAAACAACAAAAATTAAATCTTTTTTTAATAAATAGGATGTAGGAAGTTGCGACAAAAAGGGGAATAATTTAGCTGAGTGTATGATTCTAGGAGAGTTAAGCTTACATGAAAAAGTGGTCCCAACAAATTCAGCAAGCCACAAGGACCTGACGGGAGTACCTGATTGTATGACCCAAAATTTAAATATAGGTTTGTAAATAATTAAATTTAAAGAGAAAAAGGTTAATCTAAATCAATTATATTAATATTCAAATAACACATTTAGTATGTTTATGAAGAGTTCTAAACGCATGTTACTAGATAATGATATCTTGGAGCAATATTAGAGGAATAATGACTTAAGAATATGAAAGATAGCAATAAATGACATTCAAGTATTAAATAGAGCATTAATGTTCACCCGATCCTTCTGACAATAATGGATGATAAGCTATTGAATATTCTGAATTTTCTTGGATCAGGAGAGATAAATAGAGAAAAAGAGGTGTAACGGTAAACTTTGTATGTATTCAATAAAGAGAGAATCTTCACAAAGAATGCCAATGTTGTACATTCTTTATAAAAATGTTCAATTTCCCTTTTTAGAACTACATCTCTTCTTATTATAAGGATACATGAGCCTCAAAACCGTAGATAGTATAACACAGGGGAATATTCACTAGGATATTCTCTAAGGAATCTAAATCTTTAAATTATCCATTATTGCCCGTCGAGGACAAATGCTCGTCCTCGTCTAAGCTACCTCGACCTCGACAATGATCTCCTCCCTCTTTCTTCTCACTATTCCCCCCCTCCCCCCCGGTTTATTCTTTCTCCCCCGCTTTCCCCCTTCTATTTTTTCCCCAGTTTCCCACCGGCGTTTCTCGACCGACGACCCCTCTCCGCTTTCCTCTTTTTTCTCTCCTCCTTCTTTTCTGTTCTCTTTCTGCTCTCTTCCCTCCTCTCCCCTCCTATTTCTTCTCACTATCCCCTACCCCCCCCCCCCCCCCGGCATTACCAGTCGGCGACCCCTCTCCTTTTTCCTCTTTCTTCTCTCTTCTCTCTAATCTTTCTACTCTTTTCCCTCCCCCTGTTTGTGTTCCCTGCCTCTGAAATCCTAGCTAGCAGCCTCTGCCGGAGTCGCCCACTGTTTAATTGGGCAGCCCGGGCTACCGTACAATTAAACACTAGTGACGGGTTGACAACCCCCTATTGGTTTCGTGGTTGGCGTGTGTGATTCTTCAGGTTGTTAGACGCTGCAATTGGCGACAAGTGTGAGGCGTACGAGCGAGTAGCATGTAGCAGCCCTGGTTTGTTCTTGCAAACGCCGGTGGGAGTTGGAAGGAATCCCGTCAGTGTCTGTAACCTCGGGTGTGCACCGACTCGAATTTCCAGGTTCTACTTTCGGGCTCCCTTCTTTGTGTTAGTTGGTACCTCCCGCTTTCCGGCTCCCTTCTTTGTGTTAGTTAGTGAGTTAACTTAGTCTATTGTAGGTGTAGTGGTTGTGGTATGGGATGGTAAAGTAAGATCATATCCTTGGGGCGGGTGGGAGGGTGGGGATAGGGCATGGGTCAAAGGGTGGGACGGGGTCAAGGGAGGTAAAGGGATCGAGGGAGCCTGTAGGTTGAGAATTGGGTCATGGAACGTAGGTACTTTGACGAGTAAGTCAATAGTGCTGGCAAAGATTCTCCAGAAAATGAAGGTCAATATAGCATGTATTTAGGAGATGAGGTGGGTAGGATCGAAGGCAAGGAATGCGGACGGGTATAAGCTGTGGTACTCTGGAGTTGTGAAGGGTAAGAATAGAGTGGGTATTTTGGTAGATATGGATCTTAGAAAGTCTGTGGTTGAGGTCAGGCGGGTGAATGATAGATTAATGACCATTAAGTTAATGGTCGGAGAGTACACCATCAATGTCATTAGCGCTTACGCACTGCAAACGGGCTTGGATGAGGAGGTTAAAAGGCGCTTTTGGAAGGGATTGGATGAGATTGTGCGTGGTATTCCACCTACTGAGAGGTTATTTATAGGAGGGGGATTTTAATGGTCATATTGGGTTGGTTGCTGGCAGCTATGGCGAGATGCATGGCGGCTTCGGTTTTGGGGATAGGAAAGGAGGAGGTACTTCGTTGTTGGATTTCGCTAAGGCTTTTGAGCTGGTGATTGCGAACTCTAGTTTTCAGAAGAGGGAGGAGCATCTGGTTACTTTTCAAAGTGCGATGGCGAAGACACCGATTGAATATCTTCTCCTCGGGAGGTGTGATAGAGGGTTATGTAGGGATTACAAAGTTATACCAGGTGAGACCCCTAACGACGCAGCATGGGCTTTTGGTGATGGAGATATTCCCTCTGTTACCATAAAGTGATATTTTTCCCAGTTAAGAACAAGATTTTTATGCACCAAAGTTAAATGATAGAGACAATCTTCAAATATCTTACCAAAAAGTGTGAAATTATCCATGAAAATTTCAAGAAACTTTTCAGTCATATCTAAGACAATTGTCGACATGCAACGCTGAAATGTAGCAGGAGCGTTACATAGTCCAAATGGCATTCTTCTGTAAGCATACGTATCTTGAGGGCATGTGAATGTGGTTTTCTTCTGATCTTCTGGAGCAATTGGTATCTGATTATACCCAGAATATACGTCAAGAAATAATAAAAACTATGGCCTGCAAGTCTTTCAAGCATTTGGTCAATAAAAGGCAAAGGAAAATGATCTTTCCTCGTGGCATCATTAAGTCGCATGTAATCAATACAGACTCTCCATCCTGTGACTGTTCTAGGAGGTATGAGTTCATTATTTTTATTTTTTATTATGGGCATACCTCTTTTCTTAGGTACTACCTGTACAGGACTTACCCAAGGGCTATCAGATATTGGATAAATGATACCTGCCGCTAGAAGTTTCACCACTTCTTTCTTGACAACTTCTTAACATTGTTGGATTCAGTCTCCTTTGGGGTTGGACTAATGGTTTGTAATTTTCTTCAATGAGGATCCTATGCATACAAATAGCTGGATTGATTCCTTTGATGTCAGCTATAGTCCACCCTAAAGCTCTTTTATGTTTCCTCAAGACTTTTATCAGCTTGTATTCTTGTTTTGGAGTCAAAGAAGATGAAATGATTACTGGAAATAATTCAGGTTCAATAAAAATATGTTTTAAATGAGAAGGAAGATTTTTCATTTCAATTTTTGATTGAACTTCTTCTTGTGAGACTTTCTCATTTTCTAATTCTTTTTCCAATGTTTCAGCTTCTTCTCGATTGTGGGATTTTCATCACTTGTGGTACCTGACCTGACCAAACATCTTTCCAATGAATCAGTAATTAATTGATTATCCTTGAATTCATCTACAAGGTCATCTAGTAAGTCAATTTGAAAATAAGATGATGACTCATTCCCAGGAAATCTCATCACTTTCTTCATATAAAAAATTACTCTCTCCTCATCAACTCACAATATTAATTGTCCTTGATGAACATCAATGATTCGCTCTTTCTGTTGCGAGAAATGGTCTACTTAAAATTAATGGTACCTCAGTTTTCTTCCATTTCAAGTACTATAAAATCTACTGGGAATACAAATTTATCTACTCTAATAAGGACGTTTTCAATTATTCCTTTGGGCCTTTTAGTACTTTGATCAGCTAATTGAAGAGACACACCAGTTTCTTTCATTTCACCAAGTTCTAATTTTGTGAAAATTGAAAAAGACGGTAAATTTATTGAAGCACCCGAATCACATAATGCCTTTTCAAAGTGAGCACCTCCTACAGTACAAGAAATTGTAAAACTTCTAGGATCACCAAGTTTCTTGGAAGCTTATTTTGAAGTATAGCACTACATTTTTCTGTAAGCTTAACCACTGAAACTTCTTCCAATTTTCTTTTATTTGAGAAATTTAGCATAAGAAGGCATTTGTGTCAAAGCTTTTGTGAAAGGTATGTTAATGTAAAGTTGTTTTAAAATATCTAGAAACTTTAAAAATTGTTTGTCAAGCTTTTCTCTTTTCATTTTCTGGGGAAAAGGGAGGGGTACAGAGTGATGATTTATCATCAATTTATTTTCTTGTACCTTTCTTCCTTTATCTTTGTGTTCTTTTAGTAGGTCAAAGTCTCTTTTATTCTCAACTTCATTTACCTATTCCACTTCCTGTGGCTTTCCTTGTCTATCTGCATATGGATCATCAAGAGTTTTACCTGACCGCAGAGAGATGGCTTTGAGGTGTTCCTTTGGATTTTTCTCGGTGTTGCTTGGTAGAGCACCTTTTATTTGTTCAGACATGAGGGTTGCTAATTAGTTCATATAGATTTCTAATTTCTTGATGGCTAAACTTTGACTTTCAACCTTCTTATCAGTAGCCTTAATATGTTTTTACATCATGTCTTCGAGGCTTTGCTGATGAGCTCTTTGGGGCGGTTGTTGGTATTTATGGAAATCTTGTTGCCCTCTGTTTTGATTTTAAAAGCCATGTGGTCCCTGTACCACTACTTTTGATTGAAAAATCTTTGAGGATTTTCAGCACCATTTGGGTTACTCCATTGGAATCCCGTATGTTTTTGTGCCATGGGATCAGCGAATGGATAACTGGTTCTATAACCAATAATATTTACTTGTTCTTCACTTTGCGTTGAAGCTTGGCACTCATGATTGGGATGATTACCTCCACAAATGTCACAATTCTCATGTTGAGATGATGATTGAGTATTTACCTGAAAGGTCTCAACTTTTTGTTTCATAGTTGCAATTTGTTGCGCTAATGAATTTCAAGCTTCAACCTGATTGATTCCTGCTGCTTTCATAACAATCAATCCGTCAGAGGGCCATTGAACAGCATTTTCTGAAATTTTATTGAGCAATTGCATGGCTTCTGCAGTGGTTTTGCTCATTATGGATCCTCCTGATGCTGCATCACTAACATTTCTAGCAGAGGGTTTAAGACCATGATAAAAAATATATCAGGATCTTGGATACCATGGTGTAGGCATTTTCTCAGCATTGATTTAGTCGTTCCCATTCTTGGTATACAGATTCAGTATCTGTTTGTACAAAATTATTGATTTCTTGCTTCATTTTAAATATTTTTGCAGGTGAAAAATATTTATTAAGAAATTTCTGAGTCATTTGGTCCCATGTAGTGATTGAACCTCTCGGCAGACTTCGCAACCGTATTTTGACTTCACTTTTTAAAGAAAAAAAAAACCGCAACCTGATAGCGTCTATTGTGACTCTATTGTACCTGCAAGTTTCAACTAATTCAAGAAAATCAATTAGATGAGTGTGAGGATCTTCACTCGCATCACTAGTAAATTGGCACGACTGTTGAATAGTTTGAATCAAGCCTGTGCGAATTTCAAAGTTATTTGCTGCAATTGCTGGTCTCCTTACACTTAATTCTCCTTCAAAATGATCTGGCCTTGCATAATCTCTTAGTATTCTATCACATCGTGGTGACACTTCATCAAACTGTTCTTCTACTTGATATGGCGGGAGTTGGTTGTTGTTGTTAAGTTCTTCGTTCTCCATTTCTTCGTGTGAAGAAATTTGAGATCGTGAAACATGTTCTTTTCGCAACAACCGCAAGGATTTTTCAATTTCAGGATCGTATTCAACTAATTCTCTCAAGGAGGAATGGGTCATACACTTCCTGAAATTTTTGCATATATGTCAAAATAATTAGACATAAATAATCCCAAAAGTAGTAGTAGTAGAACAATGAATTTGTAGTAGAATTTGTCATTCCCCGGCAACGGTGCCAAAAATTTGACGAGTGTCTAGCGTATATATAATTCTGACTCGTACTCTATCAAACAATAGTATAGAAAGATGTCGAACCCCCAGAGATTGGTTAATCTATTCTGCAAATATTTCTTGTTTTAGTTACTATTTAAGAAAATCAAAAAGAGTTGAGTTGTGAGTTAACAATTTAAAAATGCGTAAATAAAAAGATGTTGGGATCCTAACTTCGCTTACTATTCTTACTATATAGTAGATATATTTATTCTTTAATTTCTATTTCTCACGAATGTATAAATGCCTCTCATGATTACATTTATATATTATTACTTAAGTTGAACAATTAGTTGCACTCCTTACGGTTATACAAAATAATCATCAAAATAGTAATATAAAAGAACCAGAAATAAAGGCTTGAACTAAAAAATGCTCTTTTTAGTATGTCCCTTTCGGTTACCCTACTTGTTATAATAGATTACTACAATATTTGCCTCTCTCGATTACAAATAAATGTAGAATTCATTTATCACATAATATAGATAGATATCACTACATAATATGAACATCTATCACTAAAGCAGATAAAATAGAATGTAGTTCAAGCGTGTGAAATTATAGAATAATATATATTATTATATATAAATATTAAGATCTGTCATTCTCCAACATAATAAAAGTTACTCCATATTGGATCCAATACCGACAACGGAAATATTCTTGCCCATTAAATAAGAAAATAAAAAGAAATTTTCAAGAAGAATATATTCCCCTATTTAATAAAAAACAGGAACTAGAGTAATTTTCGATACTACAATTTATTCAGAACTAGAGACGAAGCCAATATAATGGCTAAAAGATGAAAAAGAAGAGAAACTAATGAACAAAGAGAAAGGATAAGCTTTCTGCTTAAAATCTGATTTCAATATAAGCTTTCTTTTTCGCCTTCCCCCCTCATTTCACGATTGATGCCTCTTTTTATAGGCATGCCATGACAAAGTTTTCAATACACTTCTAGATATGAACTTGTCATGGCTGGTTGTGGCCTTATTCTGCTTGGTTATGAGCTTTTGTTGTAGGTTAGTTATGGTTCGGTTATAGTTTGTTGTAGCCAGTTGTGAGTCGGTTCTTTATACAATGTCTTTCTTTAGCACCATATTTTACTCTACTTTAGCTTGTTTGTTTTTCTACTTTTTTCCTCTATAATCTTCTCGCTCACGGACCAATCCTTCTTTAACTTTTCCTGCATGTTTTAGACAAAAGTATGGAAGAAATATGATAGTTTTTGTGTCTTTACGAAGAAATTATATGTTTAAAAATCAAGTAAAATGCACTTATCAATAAGCTAAGTAGGGGTAGAGTAACCGGACCAGACGAAATTCTAATAGAATTTTGGAGGTGAGTGGGTAGATCAGGCTTGGAATGGTTGACTGGGCTGTTTAATGTTATTTTTAGGACGAAGAGGATGCCAGATGAGTGAAGGTGAAGCACTGTGGTTCCGTTGTACAAGAACAAAGGTGATATCCAGAGTTGTAACAACTATAAGGATATTAAGTTACTAAGTCATACCATGAAAGTCTGGGAGAGGGTGGTAGAAGTGAGGGCGAGGAGGACGGTGTCTACATTCG